CGGGCACCTGCCAGGTCTCGACGCCATGGCCCGAGAACCACTTGACCCTGTCGAACGTGGGAGAGGTCAATGCGTCCTCGGGGATGGGGTCGCCCGCGAGGATATGTCGGGCATGACCACCTTGATGCCGTTGCGGGCAAAGTCACCCGCGAGGAGCTGGATATTCGGCGAGGTCAAGATATGATTACGTTTGATATATAGCATGCGTACCTTGTTATTGACGAGCGGGATGCCAAAGACGTCTGTGAGGAAGAGCAGGACTTTGTCCTTCGAGTAATTGCCTTCCGGGGTCGCTACATAGCACTCGACGCCCCCAATTTGCTCTATCTTTCCTGGAATGCACCACACAGTCAGCTTTGGCTCGAATGGAGTGCAATAAGTACGAGGCCGAGGCGACTTACCCGTCGGCTCTCCCTCGTGACGGACACCTGTCGATCATTATGCAATCAGCCAATGTTTTGATGGAAATTGCACCACATACCTTTGAAGCAATCGTCGCAGAGACTCATGATAGGCAGCGGGGGGAGACAAATGCTATACGGTCGAGAAATATGAGCTTGGTGGCTGGCGCAGATGCGCACTTGTTCATCGACTTAAATCTTCACCAGAGCGCTCACGCATTGTCTCAGATCGGTAAGTCAATCGATCTGCGGCCCGCGAGGATACGAACTTCTGCTGCCGATTGTATACACGTAAGCATGCCGAGATGACGAACGCATTCGGCGGGTTGCTCAGTGCTCAGCAAGAATGACTTTCAATCGTACCTACAGCCGCCCCGGAGCGCGCTCCGGCCGTTGAGGTCGAGTGGCCCTTCACGAGCGTTTTACGATCACATGACCCGTGTCGTCGCGACCTCGATCTTATCTTATCTCCACGTGCAAAGATCTAGTCAATTTGGCGGAACTCGAACGCTCCTCCGAGTCATCCAAGGTCGTTTTCCGCTTTCAACCTCCTGCTCAGCATCATGTCCGCCTCGATGGGTCGTGTCTTACTCGCCTACTCCGGAGGTCTTGGTACGTAACTCAAGAACACGTCTGTTCGATGGATCAGTCGAGCTTTTGAGTCAGACACCTCGTGCATCCTTGCTTGGTTGATCGAACAAGGCTATGAGGTCTATGCATTCATGGCCGACGTAGGCCAGGAGGAGGTAAATGCGCGGTAAAGCTTAGGATAGAGTTGTTGTTGAATTCCTTTCAAGGACTTTGAGGCGGCACGCAAGAAGGCACTTGCAGTCGGCGCGAAGAAGTTCTTCCTTGAGGTAATCCAATCTGGATCTCCAAAAGCAGCGAGTTGATCAGATCCCTTTGAACCTCGCAGGACTTGAAGCGCGAGTTTGTGACGGAACTCATTTATCCTGCAGTGCAGGCAAACTGCATCTATGAGGTTGCTGCACTCGTACTCAAAACTGCTGCTGAAATTGATTTTGCGATTCTCAGAACGTCTACCTCCTCGGAACGTCTCTCGCTCGCCCAGTGATCGCTCGCGGAATGATGGCCATTGCTGACAGGGAGGGCTGCGAGTAAGTCCTCAGTGCGCTGCTTCAAGGCTCATACCGATCGGAACGCAGTTTCGTCTCGCACGGCTGCACTGGCAAGGGCAACGACCAAGTTCGTTTCGAACTCGCCTTCTACGGCTTGAAGCCCGACATCAAGGTGATCGCACCTTGGCGCATCCCTGGTATGCTATTCCTGGCACCCTTTGTCCGTCACGATACTGATGCCTCGTCTCAGAGTTCTACCACCGATTCGCGGGCCGCCAGGCACTGCTCACCTACGCAGCAGAGAAGAAGATCCCCGTCCAGCAGACCGCCGCCAAGCCATGGTCCACCGACGAGAACCTGTTCCACATCTCCTACGAGGCCGGCATCCTTGAGGACCCCAACATCACGCCCCCGGCGGACATGTGGAAGCTCACCACCGCGCCAGAGAACGCTCCCGACGTGCCCGAGCGCATCTCGATCCAATTCGAGCGCGGCCTCCCAGTCAACGTCACCGTCCCCGCGCAGAAGAAGGAGTACACGGACGCGGTGGAGATCTTCGTCGCGCTGAACGCGCTCGCGCGCAAGCACGGCGTCGGGCGTATCGACATCGTCGAGAACCGCTTCATCGGCGTCAAGTCGCGCGGGTGCTACGAGTCGCCTGCGGCGACGATCCTTCGCGCCGCGCACATGGACATCGAGGGCCTCACGCTCGACCGCAACGTCCGTGCGCTTCGCGATCAGTTCGTGACCGTCGAGCTGAGCCGTATCCTGTACAACGGACACTGGTTCACACCCGAGCGCGAGTTCGTGGTGAGCTCGATCCCGAGCAGTCAGCGAACCGTGAATGGCGTCGTCCGCCTCAAGCTGTACAAGGGTAACGTCGTCGTGGAGGGCCGGTCGTCAGAAGAGGTTTGTTGGCTGAGCCGTCTATACGAGATCCTGTCGCTCATGCTCTCCTACCACAGGGTCTTTATGATGAGAAGGAGTCCTCGATGGATGAGCTCGGCGGCTTCGAGCCGACCGATGCGACGGGTTTCATCCAGATTGAGTCCATTCGTATCAGAAAGTGCGATCTACCTTCAGAAGTGTGCGCTCATTCAGTGCTGACTCTGTGTTGATAGATGGGCGCAGGCCAACATCCGCAAGGGTCAAGCCGGCATTGAGCCTAAGGATGTCTACGGCACCCGCGTCTAAGCACGTCCCAGTGACTTGCGTTCAGGGCGGTTCTACTAAAATGTGCTGTGATATATGTTGCTACGTGTTCGGTAACGTAGGTATTGCATATAGGAGTAACGATCCACTGCTTTCAGAAACAGAATAATGCGGGCAGAGCAGAGAGTCCGTTCAAAGATATTGAATATCTCCGTTCCTTGTTCCAAGAACGACTCGTCCTGCTGCTTCGGAGAACGCACAATGAGTGATATCGTCTGAGAAACGACCGTTAGGTACGGTCAGACGTATATGCTTCACAGCTGAGTTCACGTACCGCGCAGGTCGTAAGAGTTGACCTCGTAGATCGTCGATCCCTCTATCGCACGGCAATTGGCACTATCCCACCAGTCGACCTCTGCTTCATCGTCCGATTCTCCTGTGGCCGCCGTTAGCAACTCATCACCGGCCTGCTGCTCCGGCGCCTTCTCTGATTCCGGCTCTTCCTCGAGAAGTTCGATCAAAGCGCTGAACCCCACCACGCCCCTCCTCACGCTGCCTCGTCTGCGCTCAATCCATACGCCGCGCCTACCCGTGGATCCAAGGGCGCACGTGGAAACGAACCCTCGGGCGCCGGGACCGAAGCCACTCCTCGGTATCCGTGCGCCACTCCCCGCAGAGCTGATGGGCATGGCCATCTGATGCGCGGCCACGAGGCGGACGGACATGTGCGGGGGCAAGTTGTTAGAGGCAGAGTCGGGAGGGAGCATCAGCGAGACGCGGTAGTGGAATAGCCCGCGCAGGACGTCGTATGCGAGGAAGAAGACAGTCGCGAGTGACTCGTCTGTGCCGGATACATAAAGGTCCGTGGGTGCAGAGAAGGACGACCCGCGGAAGGTTGTCTGGGAGAACGTATGGGCGATGACCTGTACACGAAAATGATTGTCGGTTGACGTGCAACTCATGTTGGCGCTAGGTGACTTTGCATGGCATTCTGCGTTGGTCTGGAGACAGGGCAATGTTAATAGCTCGACCGCATGGGACTTGATGCATAGGATGTGGCGGTGGGTAATGAACTTTGCCCCAATTATTCCATTCCACTATGAGGGGCAATGAGCCTATCGAATGATGGCAGGAGCAAAAACGCTCACTATCTCTTCTTCATCTAGCTCGGCTATATCTATTATCCAACGCATTCCGGTCTCCCAGTTGAGAAGAGCGAACAAATTAGAGCACGAAAAGAATGCCAGCCTTCCCTTCGTGTGCAGCGCACGGACGAACAACATCTGAGTAGGCATCTGCAACGTCTGAAGAACTTCAAAGCTGGCATGGAATGTTCCTGAATCGTTCCAGTCGGGCAGCGCTACACGCAGGAAGATGCATCCGCCGACTCTGCGAAAGAAGCGTGAGGATTCATCGCAGAGGAATATATAGGGCTTTTCTTACGAAGTGACAGCAATGATCAAAGAATTGTCGGCATCGTCCATGGCCGCACAGGATGATGAGAGTAGGTCCGTGCCTGGGAGTGTATCGGTGGTATGACATAATATTTTGGGTCTCTTGGCATCCTCGTTTCTCACACCAGCGGACAGTGCGTTGCCGGGTTGCAGGTCCCACAATTGGAGGAGTCGCTCGTGATATACACAGAGCAGCCAGCGATCAAGGAAAGTGTTCAATGCCAAAAATGTCTTCGATGTATCACGGTCGACTGAAGACTTCGCCCCCGCTGGCGCCGATGGAGACTGAAGCAAAAGCGGACGTCTCGCATGTTTCCAGGATGCATCAGTATGGTTGATTGAGATCACTAAACGTTCTAGTTCGGCGTCAGAGAGTGGAAGAGCAGCCGTGGTTGGATTACGAGAGAACGGGAAGGGTAGAGGGAGATGCTGTCGCTGAGACTGAAGGAGGGACAGCCAAAGTAGACGATCACGAGTGAGGTTATGCAGGCTCCTGCAGCTCTGTGATCAGTTGCAGCATAATCCCGGCCTAGAATGCATATGATGTTCTGTTTGAAAGGAGATTCCAGCTACTCGTAGCATTACATATCCTTTGACATGATCATTAAGTGCACATCGGAGCAACGTGGCACCTTCAACTTTATGAGGTACGCGAACGAATACGCGTCTCATCCGCATTACATCAACTCAGCCACGGCGAGGCAAGCGACTTGCACTGCTATTCGTCGCATTGCGCAGGATTGATAGTTACGTTCGACTAAGCACTGATTGTCAACATGTAAACACTGACCTGGCGAACGGAAAGCACATCAGGCACATCAATATGCTCGAGTATTTGTAGTAATAGTTCGTGAAAGATGCTTAGAAGATGCGGTCGAGGTCCAGGTGCTGTCAACTCAGCAGGGGCATTAGGGGAAGATTCTAGTTGTTCTGTAGGAGGGAGTGGCATTGTATCCATTTGGACTGTGCGAGCCTGATATCGGGATGAACGTTGGGTTGGGTCCTGAATGATTCACCCGTGTATCTGTTACAGTTGCACGAGGGTTAGTCACGATGTCGCCAAATTGGTAGTACTACACACCTACAGAACTTGTTGATCTTAAGAAAGGTTGTCCTACTTTGATTCCACTAGCACACAACGTAGCAGTGGCGGTGGTGCAGTCACAAGCAAGCATGTCACATCATGACGCGTCGCGTCACGGCGTATACGATCGAAAGGATCACGCTTTATCACGCGCGATGCTTCGATGCTGCTCAGAATTGCGGTCAGACGCCTAAGACCTCAGCTGCTCTTTCTCAGACATCCTATCAGCGTCAGAAGGTCATTCAGAGTAACTACTGCCCCGCGATATCATACCAAAATGGACCAAAGCGAAGAGGCACAGACGGAGAAACGAGAGAAGAAGCATCGCGCTCACGGTGGATCGGCCAAGCTCAGAGGACACCCCAGAGATTCCCCAGAAACACGCATGTCTAAGACTCTGTCCTGGATGTTACGACACGGTGCCAAGTCGGAGGGACTAGTGATGCGGTCAGATGGCTATGTACGTGTTGATGACCTGGTACGCCTACCTACCTCTCCAAGGTAATGCTACACATGAATGACTCCGGGCACGATTTCGAAGTAGCTGAAGCGCCCTAAAATGAAAGATTTGAACTTCGAGATGTTACAAGAGATCGTGAAGAATGACAATAAGAACAGATATAATCTGCTTTCTGAACCGGACCGGAGCTCGGATTCCCCAGAAGGAATCTGGTGGATTAGGGCCAACCAGGGCCATTCTATCAAAGTACGTCGATTTCATGCGCCTACTCAGCGCAGCTGAATGGACTTTTCAGTCGGTAGCTCTGGATCTGCAACCGATAAACTCCCCAGCGGACATCTCTACTGGAATCGCCGTGCATGGCACATCAACGAAGGCATGGGAGTATATTCGTGAGCGTTCAGACGCATCGTACATTTGCATATTCATAATTCATAATGAACGTATCGTCAGGTTCACAGGGTCTATCGAAGATGAATCGAAACCACATCCATCTCGCCCAAGGCGTCCCTGGATCAGGAGTGATCAGCGGTAAGCCAACATCCGTGACTGCCTCTTGCTGTCGAGATGTCCTCTAACTTACTTGTATCATACAGGAATGCGCGCTTCGTCTCAGCTCCTGATCTACGTCGACGTGCAAAAAGCGCTCGATGCCGGCATCAAGTTTTATCTTTCTGCTAACGGCGTCGTGCTCACCGAGGGCGATGAGAACGGCTTCCTGAGCCCTGAGTTCTTCGCCCGCGTCGAGACGTCAAAAGGCAAGCCGCTGCCTGGTTGGGAGGATACACAGCCTGTGCGACGCCTGGATGGCACGGACGTTGCAGTGGACAAGAATACTTTGGCCATTGCAAAGGAAAGTACGAAAACACCAGGAACAATGACAGCATCGGCTGCGGAAGAGGCTATTGAGGGAGTAGAGAAGAAGACAGTGTAAAGTATAACTTAGTGAATCATTATTGGCATGATGCAGAGTGGAAGGCCAAAGTCACAGCAAGATATGCATAACTTAGGAGAGCCATCAGTGCCGAGCAGTCGCCCATCGTGCACATCCAGCGATATGTATGAAAGAACGTGCAGCGCTTTACCGCGTCTCTTGTGACGACGCTGGACTCGAGCTTTCCAAAAGCCATCTGAAAGACTCGGAATCCTTCTTCGTACGCCCTCGAGCGCGGATGTTGCATTGACGAACAGAACCGTTGAATCCGACGCGATTGTCATTGTCAGAAGTATCCGCAGAATTGTCCTTCATACGCTCTTGACTGAGGTTTTCGTCCCTGAGAGCAGTAGTACATAATGAACGCACAGTGAGTCAGGTTCCCTTTATGGCATGCAAGGTCTACTCACGATTGAGCATGCATCGCTCGCGCTCTCAACAGAGGATGCATCGATCGCTGGCTAACACCGACGGCTGCACCAGTGGATGACTGCGACGACGCTTGAGAAAGCTTTTGGGCCTTTGGCGTCGCATCCTGCTCAACGATCTCCGAGCCCTGCGAGGGATGCACATTCCCGTCTCTACCAAACCGGAGCTCCGGCGACGCCATTCGCTTCATGTCCGGATATTCTACTCTCCGTGCATCCGAGTCAGCGCTATCGCTCGTGGGCAGGTTCTCCTTCTCCCTCTGTGACTGCCTCTCTTGATTCGTGTCAGGAGCACGGCCTTTCCTCCTGGGCTTAGATCTTCTTGTTGGCTTGTTCGGACCACCTTCCTTGGATCCGTCCTCGCAGAAAGCTATGTCCATGTCGGAAGGCGGCGCAACACTACGCGCTTTCGACCTTGTTCTTGATGACTTCACAGCCTCCTGAAATTGACCCTTCTTTCGCATGGAACCGGGATCCTCATCGTCAATCAGCACAATTACGTTGTTTCTGAGCTCCGTCCTAGCCCGGGAAGACTTCACTCTGTCTCGTGATAACTTCGTCTTGCCCTTACCCTTCGCCAGACTCGGTGCATCGCTGGTCTCGACATCGCTATTCTCATCCTCCGCTGCCATCTTCTTGGGCCTAGTTTTCCACCTTCCCTTGCGCAGCTGCTCCGGCGGCGGTTCTGGCGTGCTCCACATCTCCTCCATCTTCTCCTCCTCCTCCAATTCCTTCCTCCTCCGCTGCGCCCGCCGCATAATGATCTGCTCCCCAGCGCCGACGACATCCTCTCCGTCCGGATGGTCATCCGGAAACATAGCGACGCCGTACTCGGCGCTCTCGTGAAGCGTGGCAATTGCCTGTTCGCGAGTCTGGTCCATGTCGTGCATGACGAGCGACACGGCGGCCTCTGGCGCTAGGACGAGTTGGATGAAGTCGGTCGGAGTTAACGGTAGGGTGGAGTGCGGGTCGAAAGAAGAGGGCGGAAAGAGGTTGTAGATCGTCTGGTGGATAATCACATATCCTAATTCGCCATAACTGTCAAAGTCTGAATTAGAAAGTAGCAAAATTGAGGTATGTATGATGCTCACTAGCCAGGCTGAGTTTTGTTGAAGCTCGCAAACTGTCCCGCGACGCCAGCCAGCTGCCTTGAGCCTTTCTTCTTGATCCTTGTCACCACATCCCTCCAAAACACGCTGCCCTTTCTAGGTCGGTCATTCCACTTGTCGCCATCACTACGTTCATCCGATTCATCCTCCTTCTCTGCGCCCAATTGGAAATCCTCGTCCACGTCGTCTACGATCTCCTGCAACCATGGCTGGAGCGCCTGCACACGTGCAGACAGACCATCCCAGTCGATTCCCGTCGGCCATCCGCGCCGCCGCGCAAGCGGCACATGGTGGTTCTCGAATTCATGGCGCTGGCAGACATCGACGAACAGGCCCAAGTCAGCACGTAACCCGAGGCAGTTTGTCGGACGCGGATCCGGCCAGGACGCCTCGCGGGCGGTCGCGATGAGCGCCAGGAGATGCGGAGTTGGAGCGGAGGGCAGAGGTTCGTCGCACCATGGACATAGAGTGGATGGGTCAACGGCTGAGTTCAGGTACACTGCAAATCGCACAAATTAGTTGCAGTCGAAGCAAGATAGGGTGTTGAACTGACATAGATCGTCTTCGTTGAGTTCCGATGATTTGTTAGCACCAATGTTCGTGGCCAGGCTGTCGCGATGTGTTGAGCGGCAGTGTTCAACAACGTGCATGTGGTGTAAGGCTACGCACAACTCGCTCTCCTCAGAACGTCTCTTCTTCCGCTCCCGCCTCGGTACCCCAAGATCTTCATCACCGCTATCCTCGCCTGATCCGCGTTTGCCAGGGGAATGTCCGATGCCCTCGAGCACTTGTGTCTCCATAGGGAAGGGTCTGACTTTATATCCAGACTTTGAGTGCGCATAAGCATCCTCATCGTCCTCGCTTTCAGTAGATGATAACATGCCAGCGCGCTCTTTTCCCTTGCTCGAGCGGCTGCCTTGAGATAATGACCCCTGTCGCTCACTGCTGACCTGAGATTTCCTACCATGGTCCTTTCTGACAGGCGATGAGAGGGGCGACAGCATCGGAAATGCCTGGGGGAGCTTTAGCTTAGTAGCTGCCTTAACAGTGGCATGCTGTTCTCGTGCTTGAGATGATAGAGGAGATAGTGCTGCAATGGGATCTTCCTCATCCTTGGCCGTTCCGTTGCCTTTCGTCTTCTCGGGAGCGTTTTCGTTCCTGAGCGGGGACATATGTGGAAACTCCTCCAGAGGTCTGAAATGCTTCCCTCGCTTCATGTTATTCTTTGGATGTTCCTCCTCTGATCCATCATCGTTCTCCGCATTGGAGCCCTTGAATGTTGGACGCGGCTTGGGACGCCGAGCCGCCTTTGCGCGCGGCGTGTCGAACACGTCTTCGACGTCAGACCCCACGGAGATGGGTGTATGCGCGCCTTTACGATTGCTGGGTTCATGAAGAGGAGGCTGCTTCTTCTGCCGTCCCTTGCGCTGGCCGCCACAAGTGCCCCCGTCTATGGTGTCATTTCGCGTGCCTGAATACGCGAGTCTCGGCGCCAGCCGCGAAGAGGAGGCGACAGGAGGCGACGACGGTGTCGAGGAAGCAGCGCGAGACGTGGCCGACCTAGTTCGCACCTGAGCGGGGGAGTTCAACGACGACTCGCTGTGGTGCGAGTCCCTATTGCCAGCGGTCTTCTTTTTGAATGAGGGGAGCTTTCGATCGGGAGGAAAGTCGGGATTGATGTCGTGATACTCTCCATTGACAAAAATCTTGTCCGGCTTGTCCCTTTGCCCCTCCTTCTCGTATTCCACAGCGCCTGCCATGCTACGGCCTCCGCTCGACTTCTTATTCGCAGAGGCAGCTTGTCGCCGGTCGGGCGAGAGGAAGTCAAGCTCGTCTCCGCTGCTAGTCAGGTTCTTTTTTGTGCTTGAACGCGTCCCCAGCATCGCGTCTTTATGTGCACGGTTGCCGGTGTTCAATTTTGGCTTTGCGGAATTTGCCTGGCAAGGCCCGAAGTCACTGCCGAGATCCACGAATAACGTGCCCGAGGATCGCGTGGGACGCTCTTTCATGCGGAGCTCCTGCGACGAGAACAAGTCTTCCCCGGCGTGTCGCAAGCTATCCATGGCTTCCTCCATGGACGATGCGGTCTGTCCGGCGCACTCGCCAATGCCGTCGATGCTGTCTTGTAGATTGGCCGCACGCAGCGAGAGCGCCACGTTAGATGAGAATTCTGCGCGTCTGGACGTAAAGAAGAACGTGATGCGAGAGTCGCGTACCGCGCGGGGATGATCGCGTCCGTGATCTGTGACGACACGCGTCAAGCCGCGTGGCCAACGTGACAGTCACGCTGATGCACGTCGACGGGGCGCCTGCTCGTGGCTGCCCTCACCTCGTCCTCAACCGTCACGTCCGTTGCCAAAGTCATCTTGTGTTGCGAGTAAGAAGCAACCACTTTGCTGAGATTTTTGCTGTTGCTTATTTACTCACATTGTCTGGAGGTCCTAAAAAGCAAGCAATATAGCCATGTCTCTCGCGCCGCCACCACCATCAACTCACCGACGCCCGACTGCTAGTGGTCGACAGCGGGAGAATAGGCTTCAACCGACTGCATCAAGCACATTGACACGAAGGCGCAAGTCGCGCTCTCCGGACTTACGTATACCTGAGGAGCTTCCTCTGGCGCGCAATGATCCAGGCAGTCGGAAGAAGAAGAGACCTCTCGTTGCATCCTCCTCGTCAGCACCCAACGACCTAGTAACTCACGCTGACGATGCTGGCTCCGAACGAGAGCGGAAACCCAGAAGTAAACACAGACCGTTGTCCATGCTTGTCGAGGGAAGCGAGACCATCCTACGACTCTGCGGAAACAGTGGCTCGAGTAGTAGTCGGGGCAAACGGAAAGAGCGATCGAAGTCCCGCGACACGCAACATCGCCTGTCCCTCAGATTACCGTCTCCAGAACCCATGGAGCTCGATAATCCACCAGAGGACCCATGTGACGATTCTGAACATTCTCGTTTGAAGCAAGAGATCGAGCACTTGAAGAAGGTATGTCGACAGTCGATGAGTATCGTGCGGTTCTTGGTCTCATTTGTTATAAGCAATTGGCCCTATCGAAGAGAGCGCAACACAAGTTAAGCAAGGTCGGTCGCTTATGCATGCTTGCCAAGCTAGTGCGCTCATGTTTTGTGCAGGAAAACAGTGATTTGAAGAAAGAGCTCGTCAATTCTGTCAAGGTGTGCAATACACGTTATCGTGCGGTTTTCGGATCTCCTCATCCGTTAATAGATCCACAAAGACCACGTCAAGGAAGCGGAGAGACTTCAGACTCAACACAAGAAGTCGGAAGAGGTCAGTGGCCGTATCCTCGAACGAATTTCTCTGCTGATTAGCCGTGCAGCTAGTGAGCAACATCGAGACTAATCTGACTTGTCAGATTTGTATGGACCTCCTTTCGAGACCGCATGGGTCTGTGACAAATCCTTCACAGTGACCATCTACTAATCCTGCTTTCACGGTTGCAGACTATCTCCTTGCGGACATGTTCTTTGTCAGCGGTGTCTGCAGGAATGGTTCCGCTCTGCCCCCACTGGAGATGACGACATGCACGATGATAACGATCCCGAGTCTCTCCTATATCGCAGGAAGACCTGTCCATGCTGCCGCACCGCAGTGGAGGGTCGGCCGATACCTTTGTTCCTCGTGAAGTCTATTACGTCTGTGCTTGGAGAGGCGAGAACCCCACCGGGCGCTCCGCGTCTGCCTACACCTCCTCCAGAAGACGACCCATGGGCGGGTATATTCTTTCACCCGGATGCCTTCGCTCAGTTCGAGGATTTCTTCGAGAGCGATGAGGAAGAGGAAGACCAGGAGGATTACGACGACGACGACGATGATGATGACGACTGGTCGGCCGACGGCTATGGAACGCAAGAAGACGAAGAGCAATACGAGGGACGGTACGTCCAGCCGCGGTGGGCGCCGCCCAGGTCATCCGCCCGAGACGAGGACGTCGAGTATATGGACCACCTGAGCGACGACGACCTCGCAATGCTCCGTCGAGGAGCGACGCCCCAGATGATCGAACTCTTCGCGATGGGGTATACGCACGCAGCAGGACTGACCGCGGTCCTGGAGGAAACCGGCACCACAGTGTACCTCGGGTGGAACATCCGCCTGCACACCGGCGACGAGTCCGGGGAGATCTTCATGGACTGGATATCCGCGGACATGTACGAGCGCCCGGAGAGATGGAACATTATTGTGAACCCGCGCGGGAATGTGTCGGCGTATAAGCTGGTGCCAGAGGGCGAAGACGAGGAATACGATACAAGCGAGTCAGAGGTCTGGGCAGCGATGGCGGACCGCTCCGCATCCGACGATGAGTGGTGAGAGTGAGACGGACGTTTTCAACCCTGACTACTATGATGGTTCTAGTCGTCCATAGGCCTGTTCTACGGTGTCAGACGTGATTGTTCTGGTATGCAGCTCCCAAGGAGTATAATTATTTATACGGCTCTGCGTGTACATACAGACCTCCGCATTAATCATCATGTGTATAGCTAAAGCACGGAAACAATGTCGTGTATTCTTCATATTCAATATTTCACCGGTATTGTTTCCACCGTCGTAACAATGCCGATGCATCAATCAGAAGGCGCTATTTAGTTACCTAAACAGATGACGCTTCCCGACGTCGCGAAGCTGCTTCTGGAACTCCCATGGGTAGGAGAACAAGTAGGAAGTTGCCGTCTGATATTCTGCGGAAGCGCATTCTTCCCAGGAAGCACGAGAGATCCGCACCGATCGCGCACATCCTGGCTGGCTAAACATCGGGTATGAGGAGAATAATTCAGGCCTCTGCCGACGGACAGACGACCGACAGCAGTTGTCAAGTGTGCAAGGGACGGATTAACATCACTCAGGGACCGTTTCCTGCATCAAGCTCATCCCGGAACCAGTATACACACCGGGTATTTATTAGGATGGCGTCCGCCAGAGCATGACCGTTCGGTACTGCGCCTACGAAAGATACAATATTTAATGACTACATAAGCAGAGCGGGCTCGACCTACTGCGCTTTGAATGAGAGCGGCTTTTTTATTGTCCACCGATTGTTGAGGGAGCGCCGACGGTCGGGAGAATGAGAGAATTGTGGCCGGATTAGGAGAGCATAGAAGAATGGGCGTGGAAATGTGCAGCGAGCATATGTGACTTGGTGCGGCAATCCATAAACCTGAGCGGCGATAAATGGGATATACACGCTAGCCCCACGGAGATCAGGCGGTCCGGTGAAACAAAAAGCGTGAAAGCGTTTGGGACACGGACTGAGCACCAGACACGAGCACGGGCATGCACGGAGCAGTCCTAAACGGACAGGATGAAGAAGCGGCCTGGTGATGGTGGGGACGATAATCAGCTCGGCGACATACTATGGGAATCAAGTGACATGGAGAACGCACGAAAATTCCCTATGTTTACAGAACACACGACCAGGCAACAAGATAAGGAGACGGACGAAGACGAAGCAAGCCGAAGGGGAGTGCAGCCGAGTCTATAACCCGAAAAGAGACAGTCTGGATGCCCTACGTAATATCAATTTCGTCCACCGTGGAAACCACCCTCGCTCCGTCGGTCTTGTGAGACAAGCGAGCCCTCGTCATCGCTGCCGCCTTCGCCGCTGGAGGCTGGAGCAGAATCATCGTTGCCTCCTTGGCTGCCCGAATTCCCGCCGAGGTACGAACTTCGCGCGCGAGCAGGGTCACGGTTTCTTTTCTTGATCTGTGACATCAGACGGTTCCAGCGACTGCTGGCCCAGACTCGAGATCGGAACTCACGAGTTTTGCATACACGAGCCCACAGGCGTTACAGAGAGTGCGCGGACCTACATGCGCAAACTCAGCCTGATTATACGACTTGCCCCTGGTGACCGACTCACCCATTGGTCCTCGTCGCCACTCAGGTGTAGAGGTTGCATGACATCCTAGGCAAGTCTGTCCCTCAGGATTGGGCTGTGCCTCAGACGGTTGCTGAGAAGCCAGAATAGAGCATAAGACAAAGTGGGATCGTATCAAGATGGTTGCCAACTGACCGGTCGCGGCTTTGGCGCAGCAGAGTCGGCTTCTTCTGGTGTGCGTTCACTGGGTGAGCGCGAGATATCGGCCTGCGTCACGCGTTTACTGGCCGACTCTAGTGCCTGGAAACCAAATCGGGCGGCCTGCATCATAGCCTCGGCAGCCTCGAGAGGTATCGATGTCCGCGAAGAGTTATCATTGAGTAGCGTCGCTGAGGAGTCCAAAACAACGCGGTACTGTTCCATTAACTGTACGGAATGCATCGCGCACGCGAGATTAGCTCTCGTTGATGAGTGGCCCGACGAGATATAAAAGTACCTTTGTAAGATCGAGCCCTAGAGGAGGCGAGCGCGGAGGTGCCGGAGCGGGCGGCTCGTTCTCCTTAGTTTTACGTACTTTAGATTGAGGCGCCGCTTCCACCGGACGCGACGGTCGCTCATCTGTGCGATGGGGCTCGGGCCGCGAAGGTCCTGCCTGATATGCGCGATGATCGACGGGAGGCGCATCAGCCCTCGCGCCATTTGGAGGATAAGAAGGGTTTTGATCTGGCGGCTGGGGCGGATGGGGAGCAGGATATGGATGTGGATAATGTGCCCAAGCCTCGTGACTCCACGGGCCCGTAGGGTGTGGGGCTACTGCGTAAGGCGGCGGCCCATATGGCGGTTGAGGAGGGTATGACTGCTGCGACGCGCTGTACGGCTGGGGCGGCGGATGTGGGGAGTGGGCCTGAGTTGAGGCCGAGCGGATGGGCTGGCGCGGCATGCTCTGGGCGTAATGGGCGGGATCGTACGGAGGCGCCGGATAAGGCGCATAGCCGTAGGGCGAGGCAGCGACCTCCTGGGGGGCAGAATAAACGTATCGACCGTCGGAGGCCATATGGTTTGGCGGGAGGTGGCCCGCGGGAGGTGGTGGTTCGTGTAGAGGATGGTTACTCTCACGAGCGCCTGCGGGACCCAGCGCGTGGTCGAGTGATGTGTAAGAACTAACGGGCGTCGGACTGCGGTGAGCGGGCTGAGCAAGAGCAGTAAAAATTGGTGCCGTGAGTGGTTGGCGATCGAGAGGAAAATAGGGAGGCATTAGGGGGAATACGAGCAGAGTACACCATTTATATCGCTGGAAGGCGACGGGGAAGAGCAGCAAAGAGATGGGTCAGAGAAAGGAATGGATGCGTCTACAGACAAGGGAGAAAGGCCGCCAACACATCTGGCGACGCAGAGGCGGGGAACAGCGCGAAACTGATTGTGAATCAGACCAGCGACGCCGATCGGCAGATCTACCGAGTCCAGGACCGCACGCGGACAGAACGAAAAGGAACTTACATGCTCAAAGGACGGCTCTGCTGTGCTGACCACCTCCAGCCTGCCTGGCTCGCGAATACTGCCCTACGCTTTGCCGTAAGGTGTGACACTTGATAATTCACCCTCCTGCCACTTTGCCTGCCGCGGAAATCGGCTGAACCCTCTATGTCGCGCGCTCTGCCGACCGCCGCTGCACAACTTGCTCAGAGCACCAGACAGCGCGACCAACGTCAACACGATGCCGGAAATGAAGACGTGCTCGACTGACGATCAGCGAAGCGAGTCCTGCGCTGTGTTGGATTCAAACACAGAGAATCGGAGAAGCTCCCAGTGGCTCACTGACGCACGTGACAAAAGTCAATCTGAAGGTGCATCTTGATTCCCTTCGCATGTCCGAAGCAGCCGTGTAAGTCCACCAGTGATCTCGTATTCTAGCCCTGTGCAGGCTGCGACCATTACATGCCAGGCGTATGATAATGTGCGTGATACAGTGCAGATCCGTGCTGCACTATCCGTTATTATCCTAGTGCTACTTGTGTGATCTCAGCCCCGCCCCGGTCCCGCTCCTCCTTCATCTTCGCCTGCTTGCCAGCGGCAAGCGCTCCGCTGTTCCCGACAGAAGCTTCATATCCGGTGTGGGCATCGTCAGACGCAGGGACGTCCTTCTCTGACGGCTTCACAGAAGCAGCGCCGCTCGCAGCAGCGGCAGCTCGCTCGCGCGCCCGCCGACGTCTCAGCAATATTTTCTTGCGATTCCTGACAGCACTCCTGTATTCTGCCTCGTCACCATAGAACAAACCGTACTCGCAGAAAGGGCATATCCACTCGTCCGCAGGGTTCGCGAGAGTCGACACAGGAATGACAGCCCGGTCAGACTTCTTCCGGCGTCGTGGAGGAATATCGGCGGACAGGAAGCGGATTGGCAGAGGACTAAGGAGGTTCTGGGCATTCTGAACGGCCTGCGCGGAATTAGCATGCCCAGAATTAGGAAGGCGTGAGGGAACGTAGTTCTTCAAGTGGTGAGGGTTGGAAGCGTTCGCAAGAGCTGACCGTTTCTTCTTCTTGCCGCCACGATCCTTCGTTGCCTGTGATGGGTGCGCTGCAGTTTCCACCTTGTGCTCTGAGCCACGCACCGTGTTATTGCCCTTCTGCTTCGAGCGGTCCGTGCGCTTCGCAGAGGGTCCATTTAGCGCATTCTCGGCCTGCTTCGCTGCCTCCGCTGCCTTGGTCGCTTGCCTCTCAAGCTCCTGCTCGAAGCGTGCATGCAAGACCGCAACTTCTTCTCTCGTCGCAATAAGGCGGTCCGACGCTGAGGCGCAACCTGTTCAGAAGAGCGTACTCCTGATATTGCACATCCACTCACTGGCGCTACGGCACTCAAACGTGAACTCCGTGGAAGGTACGACGAGTGACCGTGATTCCTGTAGTGTAGGCGGCAGTGATGCTTTGAAGGCTTTGAATGCGCGCGCCAGGCGGGCACTCCTTCTCCGAGACAGTCGGACTCTAAGCGGCGGGGCGTCTTTCGGATCACCGCTCATGCCTGTGCGGGCAAAGGGGTAGCTAGCCGAGAGGGCCTGGTCAAGGGCCAGTGTGTCACCCTGGGACAGTGCTCCCAGGACGGCGGCCAGCTGTCGTTTCCGGGATTTCAGCATCTCCTTGTGCTTCAGGCCCGCGCGTGTCGCCCGAGGGAGCTTGTCCTTCTTCTGCACTGTCCACCCTGTAGAGGCCAGCGATGTGCGAGCGTTCGCAGGGTCGTGCTCCCGTCCCGCACGTCCGTTCGCAGGGATCCCACGGCCCACAGGCTCGTCCTCCGCTCCAGCGGTGCCTGAGCTGATGTCGTGTCCATGAGCCGACCCGGACATGTTCGTGGGTACCTTTCTCTTCTTTGTGTTCCCGGGCTGCTGCAAGTGGTCGACATACTCGCCCTCCCCCGCTTCCTCGTCGTGTGCCCCGCGAAAATCCCCTGCGCCAAAAGACCCCCCTCCGAGATCGATCGGTGCAGACATCGCTGATGCCAGCCCGCTCTTGAAGAAGTCCTGCATAGCGCCGAGCGCGGGCATGTAGTACGACTGAAGGGCCATCTGCGCAGTCATGGCATTCGTGTGCACAGTCAGCTCGTCCGCGCCTGCGTCAAGCATTGTGGGGACGATGGGCAGTGGATTCCCCGCGGCATCATGCAACGACGACGTCCCCGAAGTCCGTCTGCGTTTGGGTAGTGGCTTCACTCTCCGGAACGTCGGGAATTCTGGCACGTCAAATATTGGGGAAAGTGGTCGATACATGACTTGCAGTAGTGACTGTGGTGGCTATAGGAAAGAAAGGTCGTTAGACTCTTTGTGAGATGACTTAATTAGGAGAACCGTGGCTGACGTGGTCTCCGTGGTGAATATACGCGGTATTGGTCAACTATCTCGGTGCGAAAGGCGCCACGCAGTCCGTGAAAGGGAGTGGTAGTAAGAGAGGATGAGTGGTGCGCGTGATTGGTCGGCTTACCAGCATCAGCCACTGGCGGGTTACCCTCGGATGGTAGTCCACTCGCGGGAGCTCCGCAATATGGATCTATACAGCTATAAAAATGTCATTGATAGAGAGATATGCTAGACTATGACTACGTTACAAGATGTGCGATGCTCTAACAGATTGTCTCGTGATGCTAATCTATAAAATGTACGACCTGCGCGTCGCAATGAGTAGGGTATCGCGAAACGAAGACCGACAAAGATCTGCTCATGCTGGAGGATGGCCCCTCGTCTATGGGATATGATGCGTAAGCGAAGAGGGCGCGCGCGCGCCCGACTATGAAAACAGACGATGATTAGGTAGGGCCCTACAATAGACCATGAGCAGTTATGCAACGAGACGAAAACCACAATGATGTGAGAGCAGCGCAAAGTTCACGAGGGGGAGAAACGGTATAGAGCGACGACCGTTGGAAATTGGAAGTTTTTCTTGTGTCATAGGGAAGCGGGCATAATGGGGATGTGAAGAGTCCGACGGATCACATAGGGCATGGAGAGCGAAGAATTGAGTTCGAAGTGGAAGCATGGTTGGAGTGGACATTGGCGTTCGATCAGTGGATCATCTACCACCAGCTGCCTCCGCCTGCGCCTCCGCTGCCGCCGTAGCTGCCTCCGCCATAGCCTCCACCTCCGCCATAGCCGCCGTACTGCGGGCTGCCACCACTGTAGCCAGCGCCTCCGCTACGGCCACCATAGCCACCTGCACCTCCACCAGCAGGGCGGAAGTCACGGGTAGATTGCGTGCGGCCTCCTCCTCTGCCACGACCACCACGGCCACCACGCACGCTGCCGCCGCCGAAGGAGCTTTCATGAGCGACCGTCTCAAGCCAGGCAGGGATCTCCTGATTTGCCTCACGCAGCAGTTCAAGAAGGTCCCGGACCATGTTGCGGTTGCCGCGGTTGAAGAACGCGGTGGCGATGCCAACGTTTCCTGCACGGCCAGTACGGCCGATACGGTGGACATAGTCGTCGATGTCGGATGGCAGATCGTAGTTGATGACGTGAGTGACGTTCGGAATATCGAGACCACGAGCAGCAACGGCAGTGGCAACCAAAATCGGGGTACGGCCGGTACGGAAAGTCTGCAGTGCCGTCTCACGCTCTCGCTGAGTACGATCGCCGTGGATAGATGTTGCAGGAAGGTGGTTCGCCAACAAGAAATCGGATAACATATCTGCCATCCGCTTTGTCTCGACGAAGACCAGCGTCAGTCCAGATTCGTGCGCGGAGAGAACATCAAGAAGGACTGAGCGCTTCTCGGCGTCCTCAACGTATTCGACCTTCTGCGTGATGTTCTCCGAAGTCGAACCGACACGGCCCACAGAGAGGAAAACGTAGTCCTTCATGAAATCCCTTGCAAGCATCTGGATGTCGCGCGGGAACGTCGCACTGAACATCAATGTCTGGCGTTCCTGTACGCCAGGCATGTCTTCACCCTGCACGATCCTGCGGATTTGAGGCTCGAAACCCATGTCCAGCATACGATCGGCCTCATCCAGCACGAGATATTGGATGTTTGCAAGGCTGATGCGCCCACGTTCAATGAGGTCCACCAAGCGGCCAGGGGTGGCGCTAAGGAGGTCACAGCCACGCTCGATTTGGCGCAGCTGCTGACTGATATCGGCACCACCATACACCACAGCGGGACGAACCCAGGAGCGATAGCAAAACTTGCGAGCTTCTTCGTGAATCTGGCTGACCAGTTCACGAGTCGGGGCGAGGATAAGGGCGGTGGGATAGGCCTTGCGAGCGCGGCCGTATCCACCGCTCACAGCGTCAGCCGTAGGGGGCCGTGGTCCATTAGTGAACGAAGCCGATAGAATGGGGAATAAGAAACCGCCTGTTTTCCCAGAACCAGTCTATGAACATAGATGCGTGAGTACACCATTGACGAGCATGAATAAACAGCCACTGCTTACCTGAGCACAGGCCATGAGGTCTCTGCCGGCTGCAACAATAGGTATCGAATACTTTTGTACCGGCGTCGGGGTAGCGTAATGAGCGTAGCCAATGTTCTCCAGGAGAACAGGGTCTAACGGTGGGCACGTGAATGCATTCACGGGCTCTGGTACGTCGGCACCAGTAGCCTCCACGGGGATATCGTCGTATTTCTCGAAATTGATGCCGGTGTGCTGTTTAGACGGGTCGTCTTCATCACCGAAAAGCTCCTTTTCCATACGCACGTTGCGAGCACCAGGGATGTGCACGCCATCCTTCCACACGCCGTAACCAAGATTTTCACGAGGCGCACCGTCGCCGCGCCCTGACGACCAGTTGCTCGATGCGCGATCTCCTCCCCATCGCTCATTGCGAACGTGCCCGCCAGAGCCTTTATCACCGTAGCCACCCCTGCTACCACCGAAACCGCCGCGGGATGAAGGAGTGGGAGAGCGGGAGTCAGTCCAGCCGTTCCTGTGAGCAATAATCAGTACGACAATCATGGACATGCAGATCACGAAATTTACTCACCCGTTGGTAGGAACCGCGGGAGAAGACGCAGCCCGCTGCGTGTTCCTCATATGCGGAGGAACATATGCTGATTTTGTACCGTTGACACCGAGAGAAGCTGGAGGAGGGGTTAGTACCTTGCCAGCGCATCCTGTGGGTCTGAAAGACTCACCAAACTCACTCTCTAGCCCAGTACCGTTTACAATTCCATTGGTCATATTAAGCGAGTTCGAACGAAAGAGTACTTTGAGTCGGAAGACGAGTGTTCTCTAAAACGTTTGAGACGAGATGATGGTTCACCAGAAAGGCGATGGAAGAAAAATTGCGGCCCCGTTCTGGGTTTGTAACGGAATCGCGGGATGACTAAGCTGTGTACCATATTTGGTAAGTCACCGGGGACGTGGCACGCCACTCAGCCTCCGTCCGCCAGAGGACCTCATCGCTCCCGACGCGTTGCGGACGTCGTGCCCATTTCCCAGACATGTCGCACTCGCACACGCATGCCCCAGGACAACATCCAGGCCACACACATGGCCCTCCTCCACAGCAGCAACCACAGATCGTGATGCGTCAGCCCGACCCGGTCATGCAGGCCCTAATCGAAGCGAGCTTTCGCCCAGTCGACATCGCCCTCGGACCTCCAGAGAACGCGTCTGCGCTATGCGGGAAGCACTCTCTCGAGAAGTGCGCAGAGTGCGACGTCGATTACACTAATCTGAACCGACTGTCACGTACGCTGCAGGCCAACCCGAACCTCCGTTGTCCACCTCCGCCCCAGGTCATTAGCAAGCCGCTGTCGGCAGCTATCAACAACACCAAGGAAGAAGGAAATGTATGGCACTGTTAGTCACAACATTCATACGAGCCTGACGCTCTGTCTAGGCGTTGTTCAAGGCCGGAATGCATGACAAGGCAATCCAGCGGTATTCTATGGCAGCGAATATAGCCGCGCAGCGTCCACCTTGGGAGGCACAGCAGATAATGCGAGAAGAGCTCTCTACTATTCTTTCGAACCGCTCCGCTGCATTCTTGGAGGCGGGAGACTACATCAATGCCCTTGTGGATGCCGAGCTTGTCATACAAATCAGACGACCTTGGAGTAAAGGTCACTACCGGCAAGCGAAGGCATTGCTGGGTTTGAACAAATTCCACGAAGCCAGAAATGCTGTTCAAGTGGGGCTGTCATTTGAACCGGACAGTAAGGCATGTATAACGGTTTGCATAATGTAGACATCCTGCTAACGTCGACATGAAGGAACTTCGGGACATGTTGAACGCGATTGATGCTGCCCTCCAACGGATGGCGGCCGCGAAACATGTGCAGGTAGAGGAGAAAATGTCAGATGGACAACCTGCATAATTTATACCCATTATCGTGTTGTAATTATGTTTCTGTGCTCTCGCATGTTATGTCTGCAGTAGTCTTTTGCCGGATACAAGTGCGACTACTACAGTGAACCACCGCCCCCTCATCCTACCTGCAGACCATCAAGGATACTCATGGCTTCTACACATTCTTGTGGGTGTCTGAACACACGCAAAGAAATGTGGGCTGGGACAGCACCACGCGCAATCCATACACGTCTCTGCAGTTCTTCCCGTCTGCGTTCTGCTTCGGTAAGGTATGGTCTTGGATCCGAATCGAACTCGCCGAACTGCTGCTCGTTAGCGAGAGGCGGAAGGGACTCGGGATAGAAATCCTCGGGCTCCTCGTTGATAGGCGATGCGGCCATTGATGTCGAGTTGAAAAGACGAAGTGATGCCTCATGATCATCCAGTGGTACTTCGCTATACGAGTGCGTCCTCTTTGGAGTCCGCGGGGCCGAGACACTTTGCTGCTCTGATACAGAACGAGTCATGGGTCTAGATAGGGAGTTCTTCCTTGCTGTGGAGCGTACTGGCATCAAGGATGCGGAGGAAGATGTGTTCTGACGCTGCACTTTCCGCACAAGCGCTTTTGTACCTGTGGGGTCATCCAGAGGTGGCAAGTCGCTGTCCACCATAACGTCTCTGATAAAGATCGCTATGATCTGTCTAGGGCGCTCGCGTGCAATATCAGCATAGAGCTCCAGGTCCTGTTCTCCCGAGTCCCCGACTGTTATGAATTGTCCGTCAGGGAAGTTATCCAGCACCTCAACTACTGCAGCGCGTTTACGAGCGGCTGGAGCGGAGAGAAGGCCTGTGAATAACGAGCGGCCTCCGTATGACCGCAGCTTGATTGAACCCGGCGGAAGATGGCTCAATTGGAAGAATTGGTTGATGATCGGTAACAGCTCAAATGGCCCATTCGACTGGATGCATCATCAGACTAGCCTCGACATGAAGCTGGTTCACGAAATGCTTACAACATAATGGAACCGTACGCCGCGTCTCCACATCTTCATATACCAGTCCGCCATGCCGGGAATGATGCTCTGATCCAGATCCTTCACAAAGACGGTTTGGAACACTGCGCGAGCTCCGCTCAGCACGCTGGCCAGCTTCACTGTATCATCGATATCCGAAATTACCCTCACTCTTGAAGATGTAAGAGGGACTGGTATCGATGAGGATGCGGACGGCGAGGGCGAATACTGAGGAGGTGGTTGATAGGGTGTGGTATTGGGTGGTGGCCGAGGTGGAAGTGCCATCAACTCAGCGACCACAAATAGATCTTGCTCCAGCCGTCTGTCGCCGAATGCTACGTGGACACCTTCAGGATGCAGACATAGTGTCTCCCATGAGACATGGAACTTCATCTGGAACGAGCCGTCCGGCCCAGTGACCACGTCGCGTCGCATCAGCGGCTGGTGTGTGATATAATCTCCGCTCGTCCTCTGGTCTTCCGGCTGATACAGTGAGGGATCTGTGGCATAAAGTGAGACTCGCACTGTCCGGGCAGACAGTGATGTGCAATTCCAAAATGGGTGCAAGCGTGTTTCGAGGTTCCTATTCCATCTTTGAATTAAAGGAGATAGTGCGCCGAAGTGTGCACCAGGACCTGTCATTGAAATTGCCGGACTAGACGGGGATTCCGAGTCCATGGAAGAAGTGCCCGAGGAAGACGCGAGCGACTCCGTCTCTGTGGTGCTTGAGGGATCCAAACGGAGGTCGTGGAGCTGTTTCTCCAGTGCCTCGGCTTCCGCATTCTCGTCCGTCTCTTCAGGTTTGACAGGTAGCTGTATGTTCGCGAGGAGGTCTTCCGTAGACTTGCTTAGTGGGGTGTTCTGTGTCCATCCAGACTGTCCATTACCCTGACTGGCTTGCATCGCAAGCTTCGGAATCGCCGCGAAACCTATGGCTTTTCGTTATCACATGCGCGATAAGGACATAGGACAGACGTACTGGTTGCGACTTTGAGAAACGCTCTTCCAGAACGCGTATTGAAACCAGGCCCGCTTGCCCGCGAAGCGTAGCCCGATATATAGACTTCTATCTCAAATGGTGCATCTGTGAATTCGCGCGCAGTGAGAATCCAGCATATACGGTCCACTCAATGCATGATTAAGATTGAGGCAAAGGGACCTGTACTCTGCTTCAAGAATCAAGCTCGAGATGCATAGTTCCGGCACAGGGGCACTAAGCTAGTGGCAGAAACTATCACAAGTGCACAGATGACAATCCAATGACGAACTCAAGATCATGCCAGCAACTATCTGTCGCTGCGCAGAGACCATCGGCTGCAGCCCGTCTGTGCCTCCGAATTCCTACGTGAGATTTACTGACCTTCCATAACGCTGTTTGAAGGCTCGTGGAACCTCCTCGCGGCCCATCCGGGAAACAGCAACACCTGCTCCACGCCCGTGTTTTCACCTTGCACCTGCCGCAACTTCTGCCCAGCCCATTGTGTCCATGACTGTTTCCTTGAGCTACCCTCGTCACCGATAATGCCCCTGCTGGAAGGAGACGCTCGTCTAAATTCCTTCTGGGAGACGTAGGTCTTGATCTGCCTCGACGCGGCGCTTGCGAGCGACCTCCAAGAACTTGGCATCTCATACGCGTATTCGTCTGCCATCACAGCTGTGAGGGAGCAATCATACAGACTCTATTGGTGTCGTGTCGAGCAGGCGTTTGTGTGCGGATAATAGCTGAGAACAAGAAGCATCGCGATCATTTGAGTGAAACCGCATACACCACTGAAATCATGATGCACTGCAAGCGAGCGATGGCCGGTCTCGTGCCTGCCGCAGTATGTCATGGCTATGTATACCTATAGCAGAGGAAATCGATGTAGAGAGGCCTGAGAAAGCTCTGCAATAGCCTGAGACGCGTAGAGAAAAGAGCACGAGAGCACCTCAACGTTAGTCTGCATAGATATATATCAGACGGTCTTGGCTCGAAATCACGATCATCGTTTGTGACTGCCCGGAAAGATTTTACGCATCATTGTATTACGACGTCCATGGTGCTGCTGGCACACGCATTGCTAAGACATAATACGTACTTTGTTTCTATGATCTTCTGACAATCTAAGTTGCAGCTCATTACATCCTCCAGTCACAGGTATCTGTGAAGAAACTTAATGGTGGCTTGAAGCCCCTTCCTTCAACCCCCTTCCCCCTTCGCCTTCAAGTCGTCCTGAGAGGACAAGTACACCGTTAGCATACCGCTAGACTCGCCATGTAGCCTTGTACAGTGAATCCATGCGCGCACCCTTCCCAGCAAGTCCTCTGTATCCGGGCACGAACCGGCCACTTCTCAAAATCTCGTCGGCCTTGACCTTGAAATTTCTTCGTGAACACCTCGTCGATCTCACAGCTATTGATCAAAAACGGGGCTTTGGATTCGGCTCTGTACGGTATGGGACAGCGATTGATCGGAAGAAAACATTGAGCCTTGAAGCGGGGATCATCAATACCGAGGGGCCCGCCCTGTAGCACTAGTGGCGGCGATCTTACAGCAGCAACCCTCGAATTCACACTGCTTGCCCTCAGTGAGCGGACCTTATCGAGGGCCGCCTTCGTGGACAGTATCTCGCTAGGGCATGGCCTGTAGTCCCATGCTGATCGAAGCCCTAGAGCCTTTGCAGAAGCTGGGTCTTTACTTGCGATGTCTGAGACTCACGACCCTGGATCGTTGCATGCAGAGTCATTCGCCATACAGCTGTATGGTACAACAATTATGACGAGCATGATCAATCTGAAAGGATCCTGCTTTACAGATAAACTAGGTGGTTTGATAGGTATGGTCAGAATACATCAGGCAGAAATAGAACTATTTTTCACCTTCGAGTGGTCTCCTTAGGATTTCAACAACATAGCAGTCAATGCATCTAACTTGCTCGGTTTGCCTGTTGAAGTTCAGCGAGGCTTATGGAAGACGCGGTGAAGTATATGCCCCCTCCTCCCGCCCTCCTCATGAAATACGCCTAACGCAATAAAGGCTCACGATTGAGAACACGGCAATCACTGAAGAGGGTTCGCACGCATACACCGCTGGATGTCTGTGTTGGCCCCACTTGGTACTGTGGTCCGCGATTACACACTTCTATCCGATCGGAATTTGCAGTGACCATTCTCCGGCATCCCGCCCTCTCGCTTGCTTCATGCGTTGCCATCAGCGCGGTGATCCCAACGGAGATTTCCATCGTAGATGTGTCATCGACAGACCATCAATGCGTCGATCGCTTGCGTCGCACATCCTCACTTCGTCCTGAATGACATCTTTTCGCTGCCCCAATCCTGTACAACGCATACATTCTTGAAGACACACACGAACCTAATACCACTTTCGGTTCAGTAGGGTATCCATTACAAATGTTTCTTGAGGAACTCGACGGTCGCCTTGAACGCTCCCTCCTTGCCCGCCTTCACCTTCGGGTCACTCTGTCGGGTAGCAAATAGCAAAGTTCACCATTGGTACGTGGGAAAAGTGAGTAGATGGTACGTACCATGTCGCCTCGCACGGAAAAGCCGTGAGTGCATCCTTCCCAGTAAGTCCTCACATACCCAGGCGCGAACTTGCCGCCACCGAGAATCTCGTCGGCCTTAGCCTGCGATTCCTTCGGGAACATCTGGTCGACCTCGCAACTGTTGATCAGGAGCGGCGCCTTGGACTCAGCGGAGTATTTCTGCGGACACACATCATGGCACATCAGATCCGTCTATGCTGCAAACAGGATTCGACTCGGCGAACCTCGAGATCAGCAGGGACCTGCAGGAGACTCGGGTGCGACACCGCCACGACCGAGACAGTATTCTTGAACGCGAGGTCGAATGCCGGGCGCGCACCATAGCAGTACCCGAGCACGGCGATCTTCTGCACCCCGGTCACCTTGAGGGCAGGGATGACCTTGTCGAGGACGGGATGGACAGTCTCCATGCCGTGCCTTCCCAGCCAGGGCATGAAGTCCCAGGTCGAGCCGGGATCAAGCGCATCCGCGGGTGCCGGGTCCTTGTTCAGGATGTCTGGAATGACGACCTTCAACCCGTTGCGAGCATAGTCATCCGCGAGGAACTATAATGGTGTGCAGATAGAGAACATGGTCAGACTGGTAGTCGAGAGGGGCGCACTCTCACTCGGACACACCTGGTGATTGGGCAACTCCACACCGAAGATGTCTGTGAGGTATAAGATCACCTTCTCCTTGGCATAGTCACCCGAGGGAGTCGCGACGTAGCAGCTCACGCCCGCGATCTCCTCGAACTTGCCTGCGCATCGAACTCTGATCAGCACGCAGATCAGCACCTCAAGCTCAAGTATTAGCTCACCCTCGGGGGTGCCCTCATGGCGCACGCCTATGTAGATCGGAGAGCGGACGATCGTCAGCTTGCAATTATACGGAGGCTCAAGGACGGAACTCACCGGAAACACAGTGTTCGCAAAGGCTCATGATGATCAATTCACGTTGGTTGGGTGTAAGCTGTGTGTAACGTCGGTCGCTGCATGTGGGAGGGTTTCCCTCAAGATTTATACCTTTCGCTCCGGTCTATAAATGTGCCACGCCAAGATCGCCGTGTAATCGGTGCGATTGCGTCACGGGGAGAACCATCCTCTGAGTAATAGCTCTTTCAGTGCCGCTGTAAAGAGCCTCGTGAAAAGGTGCTGAATTACACTTCGCATGTTCGAGAGTCGATGCAGTTGATGTATATGCACTATGTCCTTGAGACACAGATGACATCTCGGCGGGAATGTAATGCAGAGCGAGCTGAGATGGATCCCCATGAAGTTGAGGTCATCGGAGGTACAAAGTTCGGATCGATTCGCTCACATGCCAGTGGTTGTGTTCACAGGCTCCAATTGGTTGGACTTCCTCCCAAGGTAGTGGCAACTGTAGTAGGAACCCGGCGAAGTCATTCATTAATGCTAGAACTGCGGTTTATCTCACCAACTTGCGGCATAGGAGGACGCAAGGAAGACTTGAGCGGAAGCTTAACCTTTCCCATTCCAGGCTTTCTCATCTGAGACTGGTGGTGGACAAGCAATATGAGATGGCCTGATGCCAGTAGGAAGATCGTTCAGTGATACACAGGCTCTCATATACAAGTCAGCACATATTTTCTACACAGTGGACAGCAGGATCGTACGCCCCAA